GTCAACCACGAGTCTATTTGGATTTGTCTACTCTTTAGGTTTTCTGTAGACTCCAGGTCATTTTATGTAAATGAAATATGTAACGTGTGATCTTTCCTGACTGGCTACTTTCACTTAGCATAATCTTTCCAAGGTTCATCCATGTTGTAGCATGAATTTTTTAAATTATCAAATAATATTCCATTGTATGGATATGCCACATTGTATGTATTCACTTATCCATTGGTGGATATTTGGGCTTTTCCACTTTTTGTCATCTATGGATAATGCTGCTATGAACATTCATGTACACGTTTTCATGTGGACATCAGTTTTCATTTCTGCTGGGGATACACCTAGGAATGGAATTGCTGGGTCATAGGGTAATTCTATATTTAACCCTTTGAGGAATTGCCAGACTGTTCTCCAAAGTGGCTGCGCTATTTACATCCCCACCAACTATGGATGAGGACTCCAGTTTCTCCTCATCCTCACCAACACCTGTTATTGTCCATTTGTTTGTTTTGATGTAGCTAATTTTGTCTGTTTGGGAAGGGAGGTAATTAGGTGCATTTATTTATTTTTTAATGGAAGTACTGGAGGTTGAACCCAGGACCTTGTGCATGCTAAACATATGCTCTACTTCTTTTTTTTAAAGGATTTTATCACTAGCTCTTACAATTAAGTCTATGATCCATTTAGAGTTGATTTTTTTTTGTATAGTGTGAGGAAGGGGTCCAACCCTGGAGTTTCATCCCCAGACTACAGAAGTGTGAGCTGCTGGCCAGGGGTGTGCACCAGAGCCAATCAGAGTGTTGGGGCAGGGGCCTCTGGGCAGGACTTCCCATCATAACCCTTTCCTGCCCAGAGTGGCTCTGCCGCAGGAGGCACTGGTGGTGTCTCTTCTGCTGGACCCCATGTCTCCCCAGGTCCCCAGTACCACCACGTTGCCCTGTAGGGCAAGATGAGCAGGGCTGGGAAGGACCACATGGGAGGAGCAGAGAGTGGCTAGTCAAGGCACTGAACCAGGGACAGGAGGGATAATGAGACACCAATCCTAGCCGTGTCTGTGGTCAACTGACTTGTTACCAGGCAGCATTTACCAGGGTGGGGCACACTCCCTGGAGGTGGAGGCCCTGCCTTCATGTCTAGTGGCGAGGGACTGAGAAAAGAAGCTTGCAGTGGACAAGGCACCCCAACCAACCACTGGCCTTGCACCTCAGGCTCCACTCAGGGATGATGAGGTCTTGGAAAACTTTGGGATGCTAGGTATGGACACCTCAAGCCATATACATCTGTTCCAAAGCAACAGAACTGAAAGCCAGTTTGGAGAAACAAGTCCAGGAGGACAAATAAGAGTCCATGGGCCTTGCTGCTGCCTAAATCCTGGACAGGGTGGATGAGATGTCTGCTAAGGCAACAGTGTTGTTCCTGGGCTAAACTGTAAACTGAGAAAGATCCTACCATCTGCCCACCATCCAGTCACCCCCAACAGACAAAACAGCCACTACACTGATGCCCCAGGGCCTGGATCTCCAGGCCTTCCCTGCCCGAGTAATCTATCCTTTCTGCTTCTCCAGACCAGAAGCCAGGGAGCCCTCAGGGACCACGGATTCTCTGGACACCCCCACAGCCCTGTCCCCTCTCAGCTGAGGCAGCGCCAGCACCAGCTTAGACACAAGGTTGCTGCCCTCATGGGGCCCTGTCATCCTGTGAACTCTAGGTGGCCCTGGGCCTCTGGCCTGGGATGGGGGCTGGATGTAGTTGTGAATCCAGAGAGTCCCGCCTCCCAGGGCCAGGCTCAGAGTAACTCACAGCTGTCAGTACCTTGGTCACCCCAGCAGCCCCTTGAGAACCCTGTATTTGGCACATTTTACAAATAGGGAAAGAGGTTTGGCTGAGAGAGGTGATGGACCCAAGGCAGCCAAGAGAGCAGAAGTGCTGGCCCAGAGTTCTCGAGCTCCATTCAGTTCCTTCCCCACCTCTCATCGCCGGGGGCCCTGACCTCCATCCCGGATATGTTTTCCTGAACGCAGGCCCAAGGGCACCTCACTGATGGGATTTTCCCTCCTCCCTTAGGACGCAGCCCCTGGACTGCCAGGTTCCTCACCGAGGAGGTGGAGGAGAAATCCATCAGCTGGGGCCTAAGCGTGGCCTGAGGGCCAGGCCATCAGTCCCGGGATGCCCCTGCCCGAGCCCAGCGAGCAGGAGGGTGAGAGCGTGAAGGCCGGCCAGGAGCCCTCCCCTGAGTCCCCTGAGCCAGGCACAGATGTCGTCCCCGCAGCCCCCAGGAAGCCCAGGAAGTTCTCCAAACTGGTCCTGCTGACGGCCTCCAAAGACAGTGCCAAAGTGGCCGGGGCCAAGCGCAAAGGAGTGCACTGCATCATGTCCCTGGGGGTGCCTGGCCCAGCCACCCTCGCCAAAGCCCTCCTTAAGATCCATCCTGAAGCTCAGCGGGCCATTGAGGCAGCGCCCCAGGAGCCTGAGCAGAAACGCAGCAAGCTGGACGCAGGTGAGGCCCCGGTCCCAGCTGGCAAGACGTGAGCAAGACCCACCTGGGGCCGGAAGTCCCCTGACACCTGGGCAGCCAGGGGGGACAGACAGGCTAGGTTGGCCCTGAAGACTACACGTGTGCTGGGAACGTTGCTGCATGCATCTGTCTATATTACGTGTCAGTGTGAATCTGTGTGTCTGTTGGCTTTCATGCATGTGTATGTTTGTCTAAAGTTCTGTCTGTCCATATTTGACAAGAAGTCCTTGTACGTCTGTGTTCCTGGGCCTGTTTCTGTCCATGTCTGCTCTTATGTGTTTATGTGTTTATGTGTCTTTTTCATGAGCTGGGGGTGTCCGCAGTCACAAGCCTAAAGTTCTCAGGGGACCCGAGGGACCCCTCAGGCTCCATCACCCACTAGATGGAGCTGCACTCAGGGAATCAGGGACCCCAGAGGCTGGAGGCCCCTCTGCCGCATGTCGGGCTCACCCATGAGCCCTTCTTCTGGTCAGTCCCGCTCCAAGTGCCTCCTCATGGCCGTCTGCCCCTGCCCAGAGGAGAGAGGGTTCTGTCCTCATGATCTTTGGGGAAGCAGGGCTCAGAAGGGCCAAGTCACCACACTGAGGTCACCAGCAAGATCACTGCAATGGTGGGGAGTGGCATCTGGTTCAGAGCCCATTCCTCCTGCTGAGCTGGGTAGGATGGGCCATCTTCAGGGTCCCTTCTACCCCAGGGCCTGAGACCTCTGCCCGCTTCTCAGATCTGCCCAGGCTCTGGGGCCATGTGGGCCCCACCTCGTCTGGCACCTTTGTGAGAATTAGGACAAAGCCACCCTTCCTCAGATGGAGAGAGGGAAAGCAGGACGGGGCGATGTCTCGGCCCCGTGGGCTTCCCTGAGCAGGCGCTCTTGGGCAGTGAACAACCTCTCAAACTGCCACTCTGTCTTTACCTCCATGCCTTCCAGTGTTCCCCGCCTCCTGCCCCGCCCTGGGCCAGGCTGAGGGGGTGGCAGCAGTTTCCTGGAAACAGCCTGTGTCCCTGGGCCAGTGGCCTTTGGGAGCATGTTTCTCGGGTCAGCAATTACTTTTCTAAGTCAGCCAACGGCTTCCCACCCCTCCTCTGGCAGGGAGGACCCCAGGTTTGACGCCCCGCCCCTCCCTTTTCCCCTGACCACAGCCTGACCCGCCCCCTTCTCTTCCAGGCATTGAAGAAGACGGAAGGCTGGCGGGGCAGCATGCCCCCAGGCCCTCGGGGGGCGGGGAGGAGTCCCCCGCGGGACCCATCGTGCCCAGCGAGGCCCCGTAGCCCTGACAACCGGGGGTGCGTCCTTGCTGGGTCAGTGAACTTAGCTGCAACTTCTTCACGTTCCAGTGGGCTTCTGCTTGGGGCCTAGCCGCTGATTTTCACTTTAAACATTGTAATTTTTTTCAGATCATGCATTATTTACTTTTGTAAACAGAAAAAAAAATTAAAAAGAGAATAAAAGAAGCTGTACATTAGGTCCCATCATGGATGGGTTTTTTAAAGTCCATGATTCTGCATGCTTTGCGGCCCCAGCTTCAACCCCACCAGCCCTCACCTGGCCATTCCCAGGGCTTCCTGGCCTGAGACATCCCTCAGACCCAGGAGGGCTCTCCAAGGGCCTCCATCCCGCACGGCCTCATACCCCTCGGACCCCTCAGCCTGGAAAACCAGCCACTGATTCAGAAACTAGGTGGGATCTCTGAGGTCTCCACATTCTGCTGCTTTTGGTCTCTAGCCCCTGGGAAGCCAATCTCACCCATCCCTGGAGAGCCCTCTAGGGCCAGTCCGCAAGAGGCGTCAGCCTGCTGCTTCCTGCTGCTTCCTGCTGGACCCTCAGAAAAGTCATCTCCTCCAGGAAGCCACACAGGCCTGACAGCCCCCTGCACAGGGGCCATGATGTTCATGGCAGCCCAAGGTTCTGCTGAGGAGGAGGTGGGCAGTCTGCAGTCTGAGGGGAGACCCCAACAGTAGTGTATGTTGCCCCTGTAATGTTCCTTCTGGATGATTTGAGGGCTGAGGGAGATTCCTGGGACCCCAAGCTCCTCCCCACATCCCCTGGGTGCCACTCTGCTGGAGGAAGAGATGAAGAAACACAGCTCCCCTACTTCAACCAGAAGTTGGGATCCCCTCCCAAAGGCTTCAGCCTCATGTTGCTTCAGCCCATGTGGTCTTCATTCTTTGAAAACTCTCATTGGGCAGAAGGAAATGGATTACTTTTGAAATGTAAAGTTTAGAGACTTAGGTTTTTAAACAACATTTTCCAAATCTACTTGGCATCTGTTGACTCCTTAGGGAAAGTTCCAGGGCGCATTTTCCTTGCCCAGCTCTCCAGTTTGCTGTGTTACATTCACAGCATGGTTGTCTGTCACATTTAGATTCTGTAACCAGAACTTGAAAAGTTCTTTTGTCTTCACTCTCTATTTAGATCCCTGTTCCCCACCACGTTTCTCCTTGCCCGAGGTTCTGAGTCATCTTCTTGGTGGGTGGGTTTTGTCAGATGGCAAGAGCCCATGAGGGCTTGCTCAGTGTTGGACGTGTGAGGGTGGAGTGCTCCCCACCCCTTGCAGGAGTGGAGGGGCTGGCCAGGCTGGATTCCTGCCCTCAGCTCGGCCTCCAGGCAGTCCTTGCCTGAGCAGGTCAGAGAGGACTGACTTCCGCCTGCCTGCTGGGCAGGGTCACCAGCGGGCATCCACTCCCCTGTGCTTTAGTGTGGCACCATCAACCCTCCTGCTGTTACCAGGGAAACTTTGGCTGGGGTCCTCACCCTTCAGCTGGGGTCCCCAGTGAGAGGGCCTGATTGACTCAGTGCCCCCCTCCCCCGGAGGCTGCATAGGGGTACAGCAAGGGTCCACCTCCCTCTGGGGGCCTAAGTTGCCAGTGGTGCCAGTCACCTGCCTAGAAGGTGACCAGTACTGCGGGGCAGGAAGCCACTGCCGAGCCAAGCCAGAAACCACATTCTGGGTCCGGAGGTGTTAAGATTTTTTTTTTAATGGAGGTACTGGGGATTGAACCCAGGACCTCGTGCATGCTAAGCACATGCTCTACTACTGAGCTATACCCACCCCCACTAAGAGTTTCTTATTTTAAAAATTTTGAGACATCTCAAACTCACATAAAAGTTGAAAGAGCAGGCAGGGAGCACCATGTAGCTCTGACCTAGATTCACCCTCCCTCTCCCTCCCACCTTGCCCCTTCACTTCTTAAGGACCTTAATGTCTGCCCACAGCAGGATACACAGGATCTAGTGGTAAACAGATCACAGCCCCAGCCTCCTAGGGCTAGACAGGAAATACTGGACTTCCTGACGATGAGTCCATGAAAACTGGGGCTAAGGGCTGCCCAGGAGAAGGCCAGGTGCGGCTCAGAATGACAGGGGCCTGAGGAAGACCCAAGGAGGGACCTGAAGACCTGAAGAGTGAGGAGGGTGGGCATGGACAGAGCGAGTCTGGGGCCTGAAGGGAAGAAGGCCAAGAGGCAGGTATGGTGGACAGAGGCCAGCATCCCAGGGCCTGGAGGCCTGGAGGCCACAGTGGGATTCCAGGTTCATCATGGGCAGTGGGAGGCCGGGAAGGAGTTACACAGAAGAGGAACATGGTCAGCATCCTTTTACAAAACTCCCCTGGCACCATGAGGAGAATAGAGTGGAGGGGGTCCCAAGTGGGAGCTGAGAGGCTGGTGAGGAGGCCACCACAGCTGAAAGTGAGAGAGAGGGAAGGGGAGATGGGAGATGCTGGAAGGAGGCTGAGAAGGGCTCAGTGATGGGTTGTCTCTTTCAGGGAACAGGGTATGAGTGAGAGAGAGAGAGAGAGGACTGAACTGCCCAGCTGGGGATGACAGGGCCGCCCACTAGGAGGAGTATCCACGAGGAGAAGGAAGCTGTAGGAAAGTGGTCCTTCTGGTTTCACAGAGTTGGCATCCCACTGGAGGATGTGTTTCTGTGAAGATGGGTTCCCCTGAGTGTTAGTAGAGAAGAAAACCCTCAGAGACTGCAAATTGATACCAGCTCTGGGTCTCTGCACTCTGTGAGAGGGTGGATGGGGACATTAATTATAATGGGGATAAAAAGCAAATAGGATGACTATACACTTTCTTTTTTTAAAATTGGGGGGTAATTAGGTTTATTTATTTATTTACATGGATTGAACCCAGGACTTCTTGCATGCTAAGCATGGACTCTAACACTGAGCCATTCCCCAGTCCCCCAAAGATCACATTTTTTTATATTCAGAAAATTGGGGTGATACACTTCCTATTTTTTAATATATACAATCGCATTTTCAGTGTCAATTTTACTGACTGCACATCGTAACACTACAGGAGTGGGTGATCATGTATCCAACCAATTCTGATTGCTGGGTCTGTCCCAGTTGTTTCCAGGTTGGTAACAATCCTTTCAATAGCATTGGTTTTTCCTGGGACAAAGCTCTAGAAGTGAGATTAATTCTGATGGGGAGGACGCAGTCACTACAGTTCCCGGCTGCGAACACCCGGCTCTCAGGCATCCTTGCCAACACCCAGGAGAATCATTAAATAGAAAATATTAATAACGCCCTCCGCTTCATCCTGCTTGCACAATCTCTGCGTGTTTTCTCCTGGGGGTGCGTTTTCCTTGGCTAGCTTGGAGAGCTGGTCCACAGACCAGAGGGTCCCACTTTGCGGGACACTTGGTAACTGGTGCTTCCGGAGGCCAGGAGGGGGCGCGCGCGGACCCTTCGGCGATCCGAACGCTTCCCTGGTATCCAGGCGGTGAGGGCGCCACCAGCGCAGTCTCGCCAAGCGGACCCCAGACGCCCACCTGGGCCCTTTGAGGCACCGGCACTGGCTCTAACGTGCCTTCTGCAGGGGTGCGGGAGCGGCAGAGATTGGGCAAGGAGGATTCCGCAGCAATGACCCGGCAGATGGCCGGGCTATCCGAAAGAGCGAGTGAGATCCATACTCCTTGTCATTCTCCAACACAAACTCCAACACAAGTCACAGCCCCTCCTCTCTGTTTTGTTCCTCCAGAGCACGTGCCACTTCCAATAGACATTGTAACTCATTGTTTATTACACCTCTTGCTTCTTGCCCCTCCCCCCCATAACGTAAGGTCAACGACACCAGGGTCGGGATCTTTGTTGATTTGGGCCCCTGAGGGTGGAGACCTGGGAGGGGAGCTGGCAGAGAGGCGCAGGGGTGCGGGGGGTACAGGACGCAGAGGACAGGTAGAGGCCAGAGATGCGGGGGCAAGGAGCAAAGCAAAGGTTAGGCAAAGCATAGGTGCAAGAGGTAGACGCGGAGTATATGGTATGGGAGGCAAAGGACTGAAAGCAAGGATGGGAAAGGATGCGGGAGAACTCGGAGAGGAGGGGATTCGATGGAAGATGCGGAGGATGCGGAGAACGTGGAGCAGGTGGCGAGTCCCAAGGGCCCTGGACCTGCAGGGGAGCTTCCAGCAGTAGCTTTAGAGGAAAGGAGAGAGGCGAAGTGGAGGGGTATCAGGGAATTGGGGTTTTCTAGAAAGGAGTAGCATCATCACTCTGCAAAAGGGAGGACGCGCAGCCAGAAGACTGGGTGGTGGCTCCAGCCTGGCGAAGGCGAGCCGACAAAGGGAGGGGCCCGCGGAACTGGGAACGGTCGCTGTGAGCCCAAGGCCCAGGGCGCCGTGCGGTAGTGGAGGCGGGGTTGGGGGCGTCGCAGCGCCTGGGGCGGTGAGAGGCAAGGCAGGCATCAGCTCGGGTGATGCTGGGCAACTCCGGCTGCCACCCGTCAAGCATTCAGAAAAACAGCCCCCAGGGCCCGCAGCTCTCTGCGCCAGAACGATCCCGGTCCCGATCGCACAGGGATGTTGGACAATGGCAAGTGTGAAGTGGCTGTGCACCGAGAGTAGGGGCTGGACCGACGTGTGACGGCCGGCTTGAGGGAGGAGGGCTGGATGGATGGGCGAGGGGCAGCCCAGTCCAGGAAAAAGACTCCCCTCACAGAATGCCAAAGGGGTGGATTTTTTCTTTGACCTTTTAGTTCGACATAATTTCACATCTACAGAAATGTTGCAAAACGTATACAAAGCATTCCTATATACTTTTCACCCAAGTTCCCCAAAAGTTAGGAATGAAGCCAGCCACAGCAGAAATGGAGAAATTTAGAAACAAAGTGTCCAATAGGAAAATAACTAAATTATGTAGCCAATCATATGCAAAATAGGCTTATAATATGGGGAGGGTTTACAATAGTTAGGTGGGGAAGTCAGGCATACAGGAAAATAATTGCTATGGAGTATGTTTGTAGTGATGTAAAACTTAAAATAGAGATTACATTTTCAAAAAGATTGACAAGAAAGATGACAACAGAAACTCAAGGGACTCAGAACAGCCAAAACCAACCTGAGAAAGAACAAAGTTGCAGAACTCACACTCTCTGATTTCAAAATTTACTTCAAAGTAACAGTAATGGAGAGTGTGGTACTGGCACAAAGAAAGACACAGACCCGGAGATAGAACTAAGAG